AAGTGGTAGAGTGCTAGCCTTGAGCTGAAGAGCTGAGGGACAGCGCCCAGGCCCAGAGTTCAGGCCCCACAACCGGACCCAAAAAAAAAAAAAAGGAGCTGAGGGACAATGCCCAGGCCCTGAGTTCAAGCCCCAGGACTACCAAAGAAAAAAAGAAAAAAGAGTACAGTTAGGCCCTGGAGAAACCACCTGTAATTCTAACACTCAGGAGGCTCAGGCCAAGAGACTAATATCAAAGAACCAGCAAAAAATAAGACCAGAGACAATAAACAAATGAAACCAATTTGCAATTAGGAAACTAATAGAATGGTTTGATCTGGTAGGAGTACATTGTGTATGAATGTATAGGAACGTCACAGTGAAACCCCCTTGAACAACTAATGTATACTTAAAAAAAAAAAAAAAGTAAGCCTATAATCCTAGCTACTCAGAAGGCTGAGATCTGAGGATTGTGGTTCAAAGGGCAGGGGGGCAGGAAAGTCTGTGAGACTCTTATAAACCACTCCAAAACTTGAAGTGGTCCTGTGGCTCAAGTGGTAGAGCACTGGCCTTGAGCTGAAGAGCTGAGGGACAGCACCCACACCCAGAGTTCAAGCCCCACGACCGACCAAAACAAAAAAAAAGTTTAGGATGAACAAAATGGGATACTTACCCCCTCCCACTGTGGGAGATTTTGCACTGAAACCCAAAGGCCAATTAATTCATCAAACCAAAGTCTGAAGAAGAAAAATGTTGTTATGAATAGCAATTGATTACAGTGATTCAAAGCCACGTATCCTTTGTATTTTTAATATCTATTAGTCTTACTGATCTCTACACAACCTAGAAAAAATAATGCTGCAAGTTACAAACTTAATGGCACAAAAGAGTATTTCTTCCTTGAATACTACTTTTTTTCCAATTTATTTATGCTACAAAATGTGGTTTCATCTATTGAATTTCTGCTATGTCACATTAATGTCAATAATTAACAACCATTTACAACTTGCCTCTTTCCATTTCCTGACTTTCCTTTTATCTTTAATGTTTCCCTGTAACTACTTGTTCATTCTCCCTTTCTCTCTCACCATATTCCTTAAAACCCTTGTCCTTTTTATTTTGGATTTTTAAATTATATTTTTATTATCTTTAAGTAGTTGTACCATTCAACAAGTCAGTTTGTAAGTACAATGTGTATCGATTGATTTAGCCCCTTTCATCATCCTCTCTGATCCCTCCCAAAACTCATTTTCATTTGGCTAGTTAAACAAGCATTTTCCTCTTTTGATTTACAATTTTACATTTCAAATATAATAAATATAATGGATGGGTCTGCAAGATTTATTTTAAGTTTCTTTTACAAGATTATAAGTGCAGCTAGCACTGGTAATCCTAGCTACTTAAGAAGTTGAGATCTGAATATCATGGTTCAAAGACAGCCCAAGAAGGAAAGTCCTGTGAGAGACTCTTAGCTCCAATTAATTACCAGAAGTCTGGAAGTGGAACTGTGGCTCAAAGTGGTAGAGCTCTAGCCTTGAGCAAAAGAGTTCAAGAACAGAGCCCACACCCTGAGTTCAAGCCTCATAACTGACCAAAAAAAAAGAAAAGAAAAGTGTGAGTAAAATTGTTACCCTATTTTAGAATTTGCCAAATATGTATATACTCACTTAAAACCTTTATGATGAAGCTCTGGAGGAAGGGAGGTAGGAAGAAATATTTCAAAATAAGTGATGGCCTTTTGCATTGTCACATCAAAAGGGCACATTAAAGGTCGCCATTCTTCTAGCATTTCTGCTGTTGCATCTGCTGGAAAATATCTAATAAAAAAGAAGATTTTCAAGTATCAGATTATTACATTAAAAATTCCATAACATCAATTGGTATCTGACTGACAAAAAAGGGTTAAGAAAAAGTTAAGGACTCCTACTATAGTGCTTCGCCTAGCATGTATGAAGCCCTAGGTTAATTCCCTAGTACTGAAAAAGAAAAAAGGGGTACAGAGGGAAAAGAAACAGACTTTAATTAGGTAGATCACACACTACAAATGCTGAATGGGCCCACAATAAATATATTTATAAACATAAAATACTCAAAGATACTTAGCATGAAGTCTCTTATCTAACAATTTCAAAAATGCTATGATGTTGATAATGATCAACTCAAAACAGTCACTTAATACTACATAAATTGACGTGTTGAACTGAAACCCCTTTGTATGCTTAAATAATGTAAAAAAAAAATTGAACCAAATGCCAGTGGTTCACACCTATAACTTAGGAGGCTGAGATTTAAAGATAAGCAAGGGGGGGCTGGGAAGGTGGCTCAGTGGTAGAGTGCTTGCCTTGCATGCCTGAGGGCCTGGGTTCGATTCCTCAGCACCACATAAGCAAAAAGCCGGAAGCAGCGCTGTGGCTCAAGTGGTAGAGCGCTAGCCTTGAGCTGAAGAGCTGAGGGACAGTGCCCAGGCCCAGAGTTCAGGCCCCACAACCGCAAAATAAAAAATAAATAAAGATAAGCCAGGGGAAGCTTCCTCAGTATTTAAGAACCAGTAAGTTCCTCATGAGACCCTTATCTCCAAATGACTACCAAAAAATTCCAGAAGTAGACCTGTAGCTCAAGTAGTTGAGTACCAGCCTTGAGTGAAAACACAAAGGGAAAAAAGACACACACACACTTTTAAGAGATTTAAAATAGCACA